ATGAGCAGGCGCTTAAACAACTGAGCTAACTGGCAGGCCCCCTTATTGTTTGTGGGTTTTCTGTTTTGTTTTTTTTGTTTTTGTTTTTGTGGTACTGGGGATTGAACTCAGGACCTTGTGCTTGCCAGGCAGACATTTATGCCACTGGGCTGTCTCCCCAAACCTATGAACAGATTTTAAACACTTTCTCAGTTTAGATGTTTTCTAAGAAAAAAAAAAAAGACTTTCTTTTTTATTGAAATTACTGTCACTTTGGAGTATGCACAACAGGGAAAAGAGTGGTATTTTAGATCTCAGTGTAAAAAAAAAATGAAGTAAAAAAATTTTTATTTAAAACATTTTTCATGATTTTTGCTTCAAAATTGAGAAGGACATATATCATCAACTGTAATCTCACTGTGTTTCCTCCACCCAGGCTTTATATCCCAGTACAAAGCACGGCCAACAGAAATGGCTGAGAGGAGCATTTCCAAGCAGCAACTATCACAGAAAATGAAGTGCTGCACCCTTGGTCACTGTGGGCACTTGCTTTGTGACATGAAAATAACCTTTGTTCCCTCTGCTAGACAAGAAACGTTTTAAGAAAGATCGGTATATGATGAGCCTATCTAAAACTGTGAAGCTCTGCTGTCTATATTTCTATAAATGTGGATTTCATAAGTCCATGTGTGCACAAATATGCATATACTTTTAAACAGAAAGAATAAGAACAGTTTGACCTGTGTCAATCATCTTATCATATACAAATCCTGTTATAGCATTGTTATCGTACTATATTGTTGTCTTTCTCCTTCTCTTTAAAAAAAATGGATAGAGCATTTGCTACAGAAGATAGCACTTGCATCTCCTACCATACATGTAGCATTATTTTTGTGGAAATCTAAATATTAATGATGAGCGGTTAAGTACTGCTAGTTTTACACTATAAAGAAATCACAAATTCACTTAGAAATATTGGAAATTACAGAGTTACTTTTAAAAATATGAGTATCTTTTGTTCTCCCAATAAGTACATGTGGCTTTTGTCTGCTGATTGGTATAGTTTTTTTCTATACATTTGGGTGGATTAATTTTTATTTTATTTTTGCATGTGGTCATGGCACTTCCTCCTTAGTAGAACACAATGTCTGATATCTGCAAGTTAATGCAGGAGTGTTTTGTTTTGCCTCATGTTTCAGTTCATGGTTGGCAAGCTTTAAGTGGGGAGCAATGTGGCAGTGGGCCTGGCGGGGGAAAAGCTACTTGCCTGATGGTGAACAGGAAGTGGGGAGCAGGAAAGAGCCAGAGAGAGAGAAATCTTTCCAGGTCATGAACCTCTTCTGACCTCTTTCTCACAGCAGATAAGCTATATCACCCCCATAATTCAATCATTTTCTAAAAGCCTTGCCTATGAGTACATGTGGCCTTTGGGAGATCCCAATCTAAATTGAAACACATATTTATGATTACATAACTTTATAAAAATTTACCTCGTTTTCAAATAATTCTTTGTGAAACTTTCCTGTTATGAACTTTTCAACAGTATTATTTTATATAACTTTTATAAACTACTGCCACCAAGTTGCTCCTTCTCCATTATTCTATACTGAAAGAATAATGCGCATTTTATTATTATCAATAAGCATGGCTGAACACCTTTTCACAGTACTTTTGCAACTGAAATGATTTTTTTGTATTTCCAGAAATACACTGCAGATCAAAATTCTTTTTAAGACTATTGATAAGTATTGCTAAATTACTTTTTAGAAATTCCTAATGTAGTTGTAGTCTCACATTTATGTTGTGAAAGGGTCTATTTTCCTAGCATTATTATCACTTAAGTACTTTTAGTGGGATATAATGCACATATACCAACTAGCCAAATTCTTAGGTTATATTTGTCAAGGTAGAATTGAATGTATAAATACTTTTAATATTATCCTGAATTTATAACTTTTAATTTCATGTTGTACTGAACTGTATCTATGTTGATTTCATTCCATTCTGCTGATTTCACATTGTGTTGAGTTGTGTCTGCAAGGGCATAAGCAGATCAGGCCGCCGGGTTTCACGGTATCATCCTCTAGTTATGTCTTCTTGTTAACGACCATATTCACACCGTGTGGTGGTGAAGTCTAATCCTGCCAACCTGATGGACCTGGGAACTGCTGAGGGGATTAGGAAACCATGCTCTTGTCTGTCCGTTTGGGCCACAGAGGTGTGGCTTTAGGGTCTGCGGCCTTGCCACAGTTCTGCCCTGCTCCCCATATGCCACAAACTATGCTTCCACTGTGCCTCTCTGCCATGATGCTTCTGCTCTTTGGTACCAGCTGAACTTGGACTGAATCTCCTGAGGCTGTGAGTTAACAAGCACCTTTTCTCCTTTCCATTGTGGATGTCAGGCACTGCATCCCAGTGATGGGAAATCTAATACAAGTGGCTACTGTGTACAAATTAGAAACTACCTGGGAAAGTCAGACAAGAATGAAAGGAAAAGGAAATCTGGTTCTCTGGAATTTCCATTTTTAATGGGCACAAGGTACGGATCAGTAGAGGCTTTTAGAAATTGAGTCCTTTTATGGTCAATCCATTAAGTGGAGTGAATTAGAGCTAAAGGATCAGTTTGTTCAATTAAATCTAAAGTCAAATGAATAGTCATTACAGCAACTACATAAAAAACAAAGAGCAATACACGTTTTGAATGCAGCACTACTTATTTACGTAATTTAATTATATTTTTCTGGGTAAACATGGAGAAATTGAACTGTGGCACTTCACTCCTTCCCCATATTTGTATTTTAGATTGTGGTGGAGAATTCACTCATTAAGGAATTAACACATAAGGACCAGGACAGTATCCCAACCACAAGCAAACTATACAGCACACATATGACTGCAGAGAGCAGAGAGAGAGAGAGAGAGAGAGAGAGAGAGAGAGAGAGAGAGAGAGAGAGAGAAGCAGTATTTTAAAGTCAGGATTACAAACATCCTAAAGGCAACATAATTTTAAAATGTCAACATCACAGTATCTCCCAAGAGCCCTTATCCTCCTATCCCTTGTTTCACAGTCCATTTACTTTTCCCTCTCTACAATTCTTTCCTCTATTATCTGATGGTGGTGCTTCTAGGAGAGGAGAAAGCAAATGCCTATCTTTGTGGGCTAAGTAATATTTTTATTAAAATGATAACTTGTTCTATTCTCTCAGCAGACTTTGCACATCATCCCTCATTTTTCTATTATTTCCTTAGCCCTTTTCCATTTACAGTGGAAGATGATAGGCCTTAACAATATATTCCCTTAGCTTAACCTCTGTATGAAGGATAGTTTGAAATGGTGTTCCTCAACTTTTAAAGCATTGCTGTGAATGCAGATACACACAAAACCTACACATCGCATGCGGATCATCTTTCTTCACATCTGTGAACATTATCGATTTTCCAGGTGCCTAGACCACGAATGAGCCACACACTGGGATCAGGCTTCACGATGCCGCGCACCCGACTGTGGCCCTCGCTGACGCATAGCACGTTATACTTGCCTCAAAATGTGACCATCAGAATGTCAGGTGCCTAAACCTAATCTAATTGTATAAGTGACTCTTTATTGCCACGGAATGACATCCTTGAAAATCCTACCTCTGTATGGCATCAGAGAATCAAAGTTTCCTCAAGTTTGAGGCAACATCACCTGAATAACCATCTTTAAAAGCAGAAAATGCAGCTATACATTGTTACATCTGCTATTTTCAAATTTAAAGCAAATGGAAGCACAGTATCTAATATGCCGACATACAATGCTTAGTGCACAAACTCGGAAACTTACTTTCCGAGCAACTTACTCACTTCTGTTTATATGCATCCAATTATTAACTTTGGGGATACCTTACATCAACATCTAGCGCACAGCAAGGAGCAAACAAAACGGGTAGATTCAGTACTAGTTCCACCGGCCCCCAAGACAAATGAGTAGCTGTGCGCCTGGGCAGAGTGGGCAGTGCAGCGGTCCGAGTGGCAGAAAGAGTGCGGCCTGCGACTAAGTGGGTTGTGCTGGGCTCCGGGGTGCAGGGCTCCCGGCGGCCCACGGCCCATTCGGGGAATACAGGGCAGCCAGCGCCAGAGGGGCGCAAAGAGGCGGCGTGTCTGAGTGCGGCCGCTCCAGGAGAGCTGTGCGGGCGAGTGCAGCGTAGAGCCAGTCTGAGCCCCTTTCAGACACATATCCCGAGGCAGGACGGTCTTTTATTATTTTCAGTAACCCGAACCCCTTGCTGTGATCTTTTAAGTCCAACTTCAGAGAGAAAGAAGGACCCAGAAGGAAACCGCAAGCCCTGGGCGCCAAGGCTGAAACCGCCCCTTCTCCCCCGGCTCCCCCTTCTCTCCCTGCTCCCTTAGATCGAGGACGCTAAACCCGAGTGCTGGTTTCCCGAACCACGTCGGGGCGGCTCGAAGCAGCTTCCTCCGGCTCCTTTAAGTCGGCGCGGCGCGTGGCGAGGGAGCTGAGCGGCGCAAGGCGGGATGGGCGTAGGGCGTGAGCATCACCTGTTCGAGACGCGCAGGCGCAGCGCAAGGGCCGGCAAAGGACTTGGGGCGTGGACAGCACCTGTTCCGAGGCGCACGCGCAGCGCGAGGGCCGACGGGAGGCGGGGCGCGGGCATCACCTGTCCTGAGGCGCACGCGCAGCGCGAGGGCCGACGGGAGGC